AAGGTACATAAATATTCTCATCTTTAGAAATCAGGTTTGGATTGGCAGAGCCCTAATTCGGATTGAGGGATACTTTTTTGAGAACCTTAGCTAATTTTTTTCAATGGGATGCTGAGCATTGGACACAACTTCGGAGAGGCTAAGTAGGGGCCATGCTTTTCTTGACTTACTGCTCACAAACAGGGAAGAATTGATAGGGGATGCAGATGGCAAGTTGGGCAGCAGTGACCACAAGATGTTGCAGTTCAGGATCCTGACAAAAGGAAGGAAGGAGAGCAGCAGAGTACAGGCCATGGACTTCAGAAAAGCAGATTTCGACTCACTGAGGGAACTGATGGGCAGGATCCTCTGGCAGGCCAGTCTGAGGGGGAAAGGAGTTTAGGACAACTGATTGTATTTTAAAGAAACCTTACTGAGGGCACAAGAACAAAGCATCCTGATGTGCAGGAAGAACACTAAATGTGGCAAGTGACCAGCTTGGCTTAGCAGAGAACTCTTTGGTGAGCTTAAGCACAAAAAGGAAGCTTAGAGGAAGTGGAAGCTTTGGACAAACAACTTGGGAGGTGTATAAGCATATTGCTCAGGCATGCATGGATGAAATCAGGAAGGCCAAAGTGCAATTGGAGTTACAGCTAGCAAGAGACATGAAAGGTAACAAGAAGGGTTTCTACAAGTACGTTAGCAGCAAGAGGAAGGTCATGGAAAGTGTGGGTCCCTTACTGAAACGGGGAGGCAACCTAGTGACAGATGATGAGGAAATGGCTGAAGTACTTGATGCCTTTTTTTACCTTAGTCTTCACAGGCAAGGTCAGCTCCAGACTACTGCACCACGCAGCACAGTTTGGGGAAGAGGTGAGCAGCCAACAGTGGTGAAAGAACAAGTTAGGGACTCTTTAGTCGGGCTGTGCAAAACTTCAGTAGCTGATTATAGTCAGAGGAGATTCAGCCTGATTCGGGGACCAAATCTCCAAATCTAAATCGAATTGGGAGACCAGTTAAAAGCTCCGAATTGATTCAAAGCATCTGATTCATTCAGAAAAGCTTTGGCCGCTTTGAAGATTCGGCCATAGACTAAACAGGCAGTTGACACAGCTGCCTCCAGCTGGTAAGTCTGTTGGGGTTGGGGGAGCAGGAAGGGAAGGAGTGTGGGGGAGGGAGCAATTGGGGCTGGGACAAGCTGCCTAGCTGGAGCAGGGGGGCACATTACTCAGGGAGGGGGGCAGGGGGCGGGATGTGGGCACCTGCACCGCTGGTTGCAGGTGGGGAGGCGGGATGCGGACTCAGTTAGCTCCAAGTGGAAGGGGCAAGTGGTGCCAGGGCTGAACCGTGACTCCCAGTGGTGATGTGGGTACAGCAGCATTAGAAATGGTGGCAGTGAGGGATTGCCCCCACAGCTCCCCCCACTGGGGCAGAAGCAGGCACAGCCAGAGGAGCTGCGGGAGAAGCCCCCATGGCTGCCCTGCCCCGCCCCCTCCCCCCTGGCAGCAGCAACTGAGGCCTCTGGGTGTTCATGGCAGAGCCCCTTTGTGCAGTGCAGGGTAGTGGGGGGCAGTGGTGATGGCACTCAGCAGGGCATGGTGCACAGCCTAGCTGGGGCAGCTCCACCTGTCAGCCGGAGCCCAGCGCCACTCAGCCCCAACCACCCTAGCTCCCAAACAGCGCACAGTGCCCTGCCAATCCACACAATGCAACAGCTGCTGCAAGGGTGCCAAGTGGGGGGCAGGCTATCCCTGTTGCCCCCCACTGTCCCTCGCTGCATGTGGGGGCTCTGCCACGAGTGTCTAGAGGCCCCAGGCACCGTCTGCCGGAGCTGGTGAGTGCAGAGCATTTTTTTTTTAAGCCCCGCACTCACTGTCTCTGGCAGTGGTGATTGGGGCCTCTGGGAACTTGTGGCAGAGCCCTCCCATGCAGCGCGGGGGCAGCGGGAATCGCCCACTCCCAGCTTGGCACCCGTGCGGCAGCTGTTGCATCGCACAGGTGCAGCACAGCTCGGTGGGGCATTGTGCGCTGTTTGAGGGCTGTAGGGGCTCCAATGGTCACCTGGAGCCCGGCACTGCTCAGCCCCAGTGGCCCTAGCTGCCAGACAGCGTGTGGTGCCCTGCTGAGCCACACTGCACCTGTGCCATGGGGCAACTGCCACGCAGGTGCCAGGTGGGGGGGGGGGGACCGCGCAGTCAATCCCCGCTGCCCCCCACTGCTCCATGCTGTGTGGAGGGGCTTTGCCATGAGCGCCCAGAGGCCCCAGTTGCTGCTCCTGCAGCTGGGGAATGCAGGGTTTTTTGTTTTGTTTTTATTTTTTTAAAGTGCCGGGACTAGGCTGGGGCTGGCCGGGCAGGGGATGGGGCCGGGCACGGCAGCCATAGGAGCCTCACCCATGGTTCTCCCCAGCCAATCCGAATCACTGGATCTCTCCTAATCATTGCCAAATCTTCTGAAGCAAATTCGGCTGAATCGGTTCAGGACAGTGATCCAAATCTCCTAATCGAATCACTGTCCTCCGAATCGGCGAAATCCAAATTGAATACTTCCCTATTCGCAGAGGCCTATTATTTAGAAAAGCTGGACATGTATAAGTCCATGGGGCCAGATACAGTGTATCCAAAGGTGCTGAGGGAAGGAGTTGATATAATTTCAGAGCCACTGGCCATTATCTTTGAACACTATTGGCGATCAGGAGAGGTCCCGAATGATTGGAAAAGGGCAAGTATAGTGCCTATATTTAGGAAAGCGAAGAAGGAGGATCCAGGGAACTACAGACCAGTCAACCTCACTTCAGTCCCCAGAAAAATCATGGAACAGGTCCTCAAATAATCCATTTCTAAACACTTGGAGAAGAAGGTGATTAGGAACAGCCAGAATGGATTCACCAAGGGCAAATCATACCTGACCAATCTGATTGCCTTTTATGATGAGATGACTGGCTCTGTGGATGCAGGAAAAGCAGTGGATATAATATACTTTGACTTTAGCAAGGCTTTTGATACCATCTCCCACAGCATTCTTGCAAGCAAGCTGAGGAAGTCTGGGTTCGATGAATGAACTGTAAAGTGGATAGAAAACTGGATGGATTGTCGGGCTCAATGGGTAGTAATCAATGGCTGAGTGTCTTGTTGGCAGCCCGTATCAAGTGGCATGCCACAGGGGTGTGTCCTGGGGCAAGTTTTGCTCAATGTCTTCATTAATGATCAGCAAACTTGCAGTTGACACCAAGGCAGGTGGTGTAATAGATATGCTGGAAGGTAGGGCTAGGATTCAGAGTGACCTAGACAAATTGGAGGATTGGGCCAAAAGAAATCTCATGAGGGTCAATAAAGAGAACTGCAAAGTCCTGCACTTAGGATGGAAGACTCCCATGCACCGCTACAGCCTGGGGACTGACTGGCTAAACAGCAACTCCGCAGAAAAGGACTGGGGGTTAGTGGACAATAAGATGGATATGAGTCAGCAATGTGCCCTTGTTGCCAAGAAGGCTAATGGCATACTGAACTGCATTAGTAGGAGTGTTGCCAGCAGATCAAGGGAAGTAATTATTGTGCTCTATTCTGCACTGGTACAGCCACATCTGGAATACTGTGTCCAGTTTTGGGTCCCCCACTATAGAAAGGATGTGGACAAGTTGGAGAGAGTCTGGTGGAAAGCAGTGAAAATGGTTTGAGGGCTGGGGCACATGACTCATGAGGAGAGACTGAGGGAACTGGGCTTATTTAGTCTGCAGAAGAAAAGACAGAGGGGATTTGATAGCAGCCTTAACTACCTGTAGCATGGGTCCGAAGAGGATGGAGCTAGATTGTTCTCAGTGGTGGCAGGTGACAGAATAAGGAGCAATGGTCTCGAGTTTGCAGCAAGGGAGGTTTAGGTTACATATAAGAGAAACTTTCTCAATAGGAGGGTGGTGAAGCACTGGAACAGGTTACCTACAGCAGTGTTTCTCAACCTGTGGGTCACAACCCAAAAGTGGGTCTCAGGAAGATTTTGGAGAGTCATGAGCTGTGGGTTGAGAAACACTGATCCTGGGAAAGCATCGAAAGTGCGACAGGGCAGAGTGGCGGTGGGGAAGGGGTGGGGGAGAGCTGCGAGGCCAGGCTGGGTGGGGCGGCCGGGATATGCTGCTCAGGGGGTGAAATGGGCTGCCACAGGCCTCCCCTCCTCCTCCCTCCAGCTTGCTCCACTGCTGCCCACATGAGCCAGAGTCTCTGCAGTCACCGTGCTCTAGCCTGAGTGGGACAGGGCAGCTGGAGGCCCCTCCTGCAGGGCAGGGATGGGGCAGGGGCTGAGGGTCGGGAGTGAGGGGCACTGGCAGGAATGGGGGGGCAGGGGCTGTGGTTTGGGAGTGAGGGGCACTGGCAGGGCTGGGGGTGGGTGGGTAGGGGCTGTGGGTCAGGAGTGAGGGACACCAGCATGGCCGGAGCGGGTGGCAGGAGGCAGGGACTATGGGTCTTCCATTGGCAGGGCCGGGGGTGTGTGGGTTGCGCCAGGCCATGAACCTTTGCAAATGGGTCCCACCTGGTAGGAAACAGGTTGAGAGCCACTGACCTAGAGAGTTGTTGGAATCTCCATCCTTAGAAGTTTTTAGGACCCAGGTACACAAAGCCTTGGCTGGGATGATCTAGTTGGGGATGGTCCTGCTCTGAGCAGGGTATGGACTAGACAACTTCCTGAGGTCTCTTCCAACCCTGATTTTCAATTATTCTATAGTATAAAAGGAGGTCTTGCTTTCCTTTTTTTCTTTTTAATCTTGTGATTAACAAGGGATATGGGCTCAAAAATACTCAGAATAATCAAAACTTCCAGAAATGTAGGCAAAGCTTGTTACAGTGCTTTAGGAAAAGGAGACTCCTTTCTCACAGTTAAACTAGTGAGTGTGAGAGAGAGAGAACGAGAAAGAATGAGAGAGAGAGAAAACAAACTTTGTACTTCTTTCAGTAGAGTTCACTGTTTGGTATAAGGTAACTACTTAGCAGGTATATAATTTCTTTGTTTTGTTGTTCTGTTTTTTGAAGGAAATGGAGCAGCAATTTGAAAAGGAGAAACTGCATCTGGAAGAAGATAAGAATCAGCTTCGACAGCAGTTGGAAAACCTGAGGGAAGAACTGACAACCAAGCTGACTTCAGCCAATCAGGAGGCAAGAATTCACTTAGTCATATCAGTTAACTGTCATGTTCATTAGACCACATTTAATCACTAATGATATCTTACTCAGTTTGTGTTTAGAGTCAGAGATTAGGCTTGGCCTATGTTGTTAAGCCCATGTACCTCATTATGGCTGTTTAAAATTGGGTATTCGAATACTACAATTCACTGGAATGCTTTCAAAATATGACTCTCTTCTCTTTAGTTATTAATACTATTCGTCTACAAATTGCCATAGCAAAAGCAAAGAAAATAAATACAAAACTGCATTATGTTAAGGACCCCATTTCTCTGCTCTGCTTCTCTGTAAGTGAAATGTTTAATAAACCTCTATGCAATATTTCAGGTGTAATTAAAGGCAAAAGTCAGTTTCTCCTGTACACTATTTTTTTCATAATTAGTGTACTGTAAATTTTGACTAGTTTCATATAGTTTAAACATCTCCTGGAAAAAAAAATTGTCATTCTTATTTCTAATAAGAACAAAATAATGTATTACAGTATTATATCCGAAACCTAATCTGAGCTCCTTTGATATAACTTAAATTTGAATTTTAGATCTAAAGAGTGGGGAGTTTCAGTCTTAATGTGGTAAGTTAATTACAGTTTATTTTTACACAAGTCCTGGCAAAAAAGCCCAAGTAGAGAATGAGTATATTGACCCAAGAGATGGTATGTTTTGGTCAGATGCATTGGTCTATCAGTATGTGGAGATTCTTTGTCTCTCATCTCTAAGCAGATTCTGTGTTCAGTGGAAGAACTTGCATGATTTTCAGGGATGATCCTAAGCATATATCTGACCACTTTGTTGAACTGATACTTTGTGCTGCTATTTCCCATATTACAATCATTGTACAAGGAGTGTATGCTGGCAGTCTTCAGTATTCATAAACACTAACTTCACTCAAAAACTTTTATAAATAAAAAACACACATTTTAAAAGATCTTTCTCCCTCACAACTAGTACAGCTTCAGTTCTTTTGCATGTTTCATCCTCAGAGCTTAATACTGTTATTTAATCACTCCTAAGTGTGTCTGCTGAACACTGCATAATACTCCTTCCTATTGTTATGAGTATCTGCAAGTACTTCAGACCTAATGGAAGACTGGAATTGGAAGCTGGATCTCCTCCTGCCCCAGAAGACCACTGACATGCTCACTTTTCTTATAGTACAAAAATATTTTTTAGCTTACAGAAGGATGTATTTGTAGTGTTTGCTTTCTTTTCCATTTTAGTTTGGCTAAGATCAAGTATAGTCCTTATTCTTATCAGTGTATTATCTTCCTAGAGTACACTGTCATGCTGTCACTCCAGTTTGGTTTTCATTTTGCTGACTTGTCTTGGAAAATACCAGTGTGTTCTTAAGTTACAAAAACTGAGACCCTCTGTATTTAATTTAATTCTTACATTTTTGCTGACATTCATAGACTAAAAGTGACAAAGTTTACCCTTATAAAGGAGCTAAAGGTTGCTGATAGATGTTCATTTAAAGGTGCAATAGGATCTGATCCATCATCCCAACAATTGTGCCTCCTGTCATGCCACTCATGCATGGCAGGACAAAGATTTTGGGATAAGGAATTAGATTGCAATCATACCCTACTTGCCAGTGCAGGGGGAGCCCTGGTATGATCCTGGTCTCTCCCTGCACCAACAAGTTGAAAGCCGGGTACCTGACAATCAGCTGATTGTCAGCTAGGGCCAGGGACTGAACTAGGATCTGATACTAGCCCCAGTGTCCCTGCTGCATGGACAATCAACTGATTGCCAAAACCCCTAGCTCTGCAGCTTTGTCTGGGCTGCCAGGTGTGGGGGATCAGAGGCTCCCATCAGAGCAAGCCGAAGGACTTTACCTCCTGAGGATGCTAAAGCCTGCAGGGCCTTCCCAGGTTCCAGGGCACATGGGATCCAGGATTGAGCTGCCACTCTCCAAACCTGGAGTCCCTGTGCCCTGGGGGTATTAAAAAAAACTTTGCGTGCAGTCCAGCTGTATACGCCATTTTTAAAGGTCTGATGCACTGAACTGTAATTTGGAGGAGACTCCCTGATCTATCTTTTTTTTTTGGGGGGGGGGCTTATGCTGCCCTTCCATCTGCCTCTGGGGATTGGGTGGGGGCGCAGCATCCCAGAACAGGTTCTGCCCTGAACCAGATTGAGTAGGGGACAGCTGTGTCCTAGCCCAAACCTGCCACATGTTCAGTTTAAGGCATGACACCTAATGAGCCTTGCTTGGGAATGCCTTACTGGTAGGGGGATTGCCTTACTGGACCTGGTATTGGCAACGGGGGATGACATGGTAGGGGACCTACAGATCAGTGGTCACCTGGGGGACAGTGACCACCAAATAATAGAATTCATCATAAGGCGTAGAGTGGGAAAAGCAACTAGTAGGGCAGAAGTGCTAGACTTTAGGAAGGCTGACTTCAGCGAGCTCAGGTGTTTAGTCAATGACGCACTGCAGGGTAAGAGATTTGGCGAGATGGGAGCCCAGGAAGGGTGGCTGTGCCTTAAGGAAGCGATCCTTTGGGCACAGAGGGAGACGGCCCCTTTCCCCCTGCATCAGGATTAAGAGGCTTCCTTGGCTGACCAGAGAAATCCAGAGCAGCCTAAGGGCAAAAAGGGCATATAAGCAGTGGAAACAGGGAGACATTACTAAAGAGGAGTATACCTCCTCAGCTCACAGTTGTATGGAGGCAGTTAGAAAGGCCAAAGCTACCATGGAGCTGAGGATGGCATCCCAAGTTAATGAAAACAAAAAATTGTTGTTCAGATATATAGGGAGTAAAAGAAAGGCCCAGGGCAGAGTAGGACCGCTACTGAATGGGCAAAAGCAATTGGTGACGGACAGGGGGGACAAGGCTGAACTCCTCAATGAGTTCTTTGCCTCAGTGTTCTTAAACGAGGGGCAAGACAAGTCTCAAAATGGGATTGTAGAGAGGCAACAGCAGGGTGCCAGACTACCAAGCATTGACCCTGAGATGCTGCAGAGTCACTTGGAAGGACTGGATGCATTTAAGTTGGCAGGCCCGGATGAGCTCCATCTGAGGGTACTAAAGGCACTGGCTGATGTCATTGCATTTGTGGGTGGCAAATTGGCTAGAGGGTCATACCCAGAGAGTGGTGGTGGATGGGTCGATATCGACCTGGAAGGACATGGGCAGTGGGGTCCTGCAGGGCTCGGTCCTTGGACCGATACTCTTCAGTGTCTTCATCAGTGACTTGGACGAGGGAATGAAGTGTACTCTGTCCAAGTTTGCAGATAATACAAAACTGTGGGAAGAAGTCGACACACTGGAGGGCAGGGAACAACTACAGGCAGACCTGGACAGGTTGGACAAATGGGCAGAAAACAATAGAATGCGATTTAACAAGGAGAAATGCAAAGTGCTGCACACCTACTGCACACCTACTGCCTAGGAAATGACCTGCTCAGTAGCACGGAAGCAGAAAGGGATCTCGGAGTCCTAGTGGACTCCAAGATGAACATGAGTTGTCAGTGTGACGAACTCATCAGCAAAGCTAACTGTACTTTATCATGCATCAGCAGATGCATGACAAACAGAACCAAGGAGGTGATACTTCCTCTCTATCCGGCACTGGTCAGACCACAGTTGGAATACTGCGTGCAGTTTTGGACACCACACTTCAAGAGGGATGTGAATAACCTGGAGAGGGTCCTGAGAAGGGCCACTCATATGGTTAAGGGCTTGCAGGCCAAGCCCTATGAGGAGAGACTAGAGCACCTGGACCTCTTCAGCCTCCGCAAGAGGAGGTTGAAAGGCGACCTTGTGGCTGCCTATAAATTCATCATGGGGGCACAGAAGGAAATTGGTGAGGCTGTACTCACCAAGGTGCCCCTGGGGGTTACAAGAAATCATGGCTATAAGCTAGCAGAGAGCAGATTTAGACTAGACATTAAGAAGAACTTCTTTACAGTTAAAGTGGCCAAAATCTGGAATGGGCTCCCGAGGGAGGTAGTGCTCTCCCCTACCCTGGGGGTCTTCAAGAGGAGGTTAGATAGGCATCTGGCTGGGGTCATCTGACCCCAGCCCTCTTTCCTGCCTATGCAGGGAGTTGGACTCAATCTATTGAGGTCGCTTCTGGCCCTAACATCTATGAATCTGTGAGCCTCAAAGATGTTCCATATTATATATGAAATAAATTTTTGGCTCATTTACTGTATTATGTCATAAATTGATTTGACCATATGGCTTGGTTACCACTTAAAGCTAATTAACAGGTTAATCATCTCTTAAATATAATGTTCACCAGGGATTGAAAATGCTTTTAGTGAGAAGTCGCCTTTATTATGTATATGATAACCAAGTAGGGCCTTGAATTTAGTTTTCCACAATTCATTAGTATCCTGAATTCAAAAAGCAGAGATGCTGTCAACTGAATTAGTTGATGTGTCTGTCTTATCATAGTAACTGCAAGAGACAGGTACCCCACTCACAGCAATAAAGAAGATGCCTTTTTTGATGAGCACGGAGCTGGATTTTCCATTTCCCATGGAAGAGCAGAGTAAACCTTGAATTTTACCTTTTACTGGAGGAAAACGCGAATTTCTCGTTTTACTGGAGAAACCCACAGATTTTGCAGTTTTGCAATGAGCCCTCTGCAGGCTGGCATAGTTCCAACCTGCAGGGGGCTGGAAGGGAACATGAGGTGGCACTATGTGCCAGGCAGCCTGGAGAGCAGCTCCCACAGATAAGTTGCGGTGGGGGGGAATTGAGGCTCCCATAGGGAGAGAGGAAGGGAGTTGAGCAGTGCTGGGGCTGGGGCTGGGGCTGTTGCCCAGCCTGACAGTGCATGGGGTGTGGACTGAGCACTGCCTGCTTCAGGCTCGTGCTGCCCACCCTGCTGCCCTCTTCTGGGGTCTCTGCAGCCCAGCATGTATGACCCAGTGCTGCAAAGAACAGTGGAGCTATGCAGGAAACTGCCTGCTGCTGTGAGGTCTGCGCTGCCTACATCCCCTGTGCGCAACCCCACACTGCTGCCCCTGCTGCAGCTGCACATGTAGGGGACACCATCCCCCTCCCCCACCCAAGCCTGCAGCAGGGTGGGGAGCCAAGCTTTACACTCTGCTCTGCTGCAGCAGCTGCCACCTCTTGCCAGGGGCAAGCCCTGTAGCCCTGGCAGCTGGGAGACCCCTCCAGCAAGGCAGAGGGAGCAGGAGCAGTGGGTGGGGGGGATTAAGGGGCAAGAACAGGGCTGAAGGGTTGTGAGGGGAACCAGCAGTGCTGGGGGGTTGTGGTCAGCAGAGCTGTACCTTGAAAAAACTAGACTCATGTTTTCAAAAGCACACCACTGCCACTTTCTCAGCGCTGATGTGCATTTTGCCACAGCACTGGGCACTTTTAAAAGCATCCAGTGCTACAACACAAGCATGTGTACAAATGCCCATATTTTCAAAGCACCAGAATTGGTAACACATGATTTATTAGTAAGCAATGCATCTCTTGAGAGTTTTAAATAAATATGGACTCATAAGAAAAAGAAGAGACAATGAGGTAGCTTACCATTCACATGCTTATTATTGTAAATTTGCCCGATTAACATTTTGTTTTACCATTTCCATCTTTGTCTACAAGCACCTGACTGTAGTCAGGAAGTTCTGAAAAAGATTAAAAAAAAAAAAAAAAAATCCCCAAACCTTTAAACAGAAACTTGACAGACCAAGTATATCAAGAGCCAGTGTACTGATAGACTTTATTTGAAACAAAAAGAGAAGCTTTCTTCTCATTTCAGTAACTAGAGCTCTTTAAGATCTGCTGTCCATATCATCTTCAATCACTTGATTGGAGACTTTTTGCCTTTACAGTATTCATAAGGCACACAGTAGCTCAGTCCATCCTTGTACCCTGTGCCACTTCCTCTCAACGTTAAAACAATGATGCAGTTACAATTCCTCTGATTATATGTCCCATCCTAAATACTGCCTCTCCTGCCATGCATGTCTAGCACAGCAGGAGGTGCTATGTTTGGGATGGGGCTAAAAATTCCTATAATCCCAGACTGCTGATTGTGCAGGAGATAGCTCGGTCTCAGGCCCAGGACTGTCCCCAATCCAGAGCTGGTTCAAAACCTTTGGCTGTCCTAGGGCAGGGTCCACCAGTCAAATGACTGTCAACCCTGGCCCTGGGATAGCCCTGGGGTGGGTCAAGACCTAGGCTGTCCAGGATGGGTCAACAATCAGGTGATTGTTGCCTTGGCCCCAGACAGCCCTGGGTCTGATTTGGAGACTTCTAGTTGTCTGGAGTGGGACAATAATCCTCTCAAACCTGAATTCCAGTACATTGCTATGGAATCTCTCTTTCTTCAGTTTGCTTGGGCACTGTACCCAGATACTGTTGACATGAGCTCCCCAGCCTAAAAGAGGTATCTCTCATGATAATCATGGATGGGCGTTGTGGGAGCAAGGTCATTTCTTTGAGCATACTAGTCAGGTCCTTCTACCACGTACAGAAAGAGCAGACTACAGAGGGGATTATCATGTCGTATTTTTAAAGGGTCTTCCTTGGGGAATATTCGGTTCCACAGCCAAGAATGCATGCACCTGAGGTGAAGTCTGGCCTAAAGTGCCACAAAAGTAAAAGCATCTGTGCCAGGGGTGTCCAACCTTTTTGAATGTGGGGCCGGATCACAAACTTTTTATCACCCAGTGGGCCGGTGAGCCATATTCAAAAACCTCACAGGAAGTGACATCACATCAGGAAGTGATGACACGTGACCTTTGACACCAATGAAGGTGCAGGAAGTGACAATGAAATGGGTCTGCTCCGCATGGGAACTTACCCCATGCCTCCGTCCGCCCCAGCCCAGGCCCGAGGCACCCCCAGCTCCGCATGGGAACTTACCCTGTGCCCCCATCTGCCCCGGCCCGGCCCCAAGGTGCCCCCAGCTCCACATGGGAACTTACCCCGTGTCTCTGTCCACCACCCATGAGGGCAGGGTGCAGACCATGCTGCAGTTCCCCCAGCCACGTGCTGGGGGCAAGAGGCACAGCCTGTCCCCAGCTCCTCCAGTCAGGAGCATCTGGGGCAGCCCCGCTCAGTGCAGCCCTCGGGGCAGCTGCTGGCCTGCAGGCCGGCCCTGCCCACCTCGCCACTGCCCCACCACCATGGCTCCACTGGTGCTGCTGCCACAGCTCCGCGCTCCACCGCCACAGCTCCGTGCTCCGCCGCCGTGGGCCACATAAAATGGCTTGGTGGGCCGCATGGCAGCCCACGGCCTGTATGTTGGACAAGCCTGGTCTGGACTCTAGGCAAGTTTTTATCATCATCTTATGGCTGTCCTCAATCAGCTGGTAGCACTAGTCTGAGGACCTACTGTGTCAAAACCTGCCTTGCTGTATTTCAGCAGCATCCTTATCTTTGAAGTAAAGGAGTGGTAAAACAACATATTGTCTGTATCCCTGGAGTATGGGTGTCAAAGATACGACCTGTGGTCCAAATCAGCTCTTGTAGCCCTATATAAAAGAGTACAGAGAAAATCATAGACAAAGCATTCATTTTAAGCATATGTACAATCCAATGTCTGTTTAGGAAAAAAAAAGAGATTTCTTTCTGGCATAATTCAGTAAACAGCTTGGTTTTTAGTAGCAACCCTATTTTTCTTCTGTATCCAGGTAAGGTTTTTTCAGTTGTTCACCTTTACTGTAGTTGCTGAATGTGTTATCGTTCTCAATGTGTTTATTTTTATAAGGCATCCAAAAGGCAGGGAGGTACAATGTTATTACTGTTTTACAGATATAGTACTAAGGCGCAGAGATGAACAGTCTATCTGTATTGGCACTGAAAATTTGATTTTGGTATATTTTTAGAGGTATGCTAGCTAACCTTAAACAAGCTCTCTCTGAGATTAGCAGCAGTCTATCTGTGGTAGCATGAAGGTTAGTTTGGACTAATTTACATTACTAAAGTTTAAAGCATATATAGTGGGTTTATTTAGCAATCAGAAAATTGCACAGCATGAAGGATATGTGGTTAATTCTTCAAATGCATCTCAGTTCTATAATATTAGCTGCCCCGAAACTGATGAAGTCCTTTTCACTTCAAGGATGCTATTAGAGATAAGAATCTGACTAAGAATATAATGAGGCATAATGAGAGGCTTACTGCTAAGCAGAAGCTTAGTGCATACTCTGAGGAAAGGACATGTGTTTTTAGAGATGTTTCTAAAGTGTAACATTTCAAAAGGGCAGCAGCTATTACATTTTAATTTGTGCATGTGGACAAACCAGGAGTCATACAAATGTATGAAAACTGCTTCAACTTTAGCATTCCAGGCAGCAGTGTTAAAGTTGGAGTGGTTTTGCTACACTCATATCATTCCCATTTTGTCTGTACTTAACAACTGGAGCCTAACAGCTGCTGCCCTTTTGAAACATTCCCCTTTTGAGATGGCTCCATGTGTATGCATGTCCATACTCTAAGGAACAAGGTAATAATATTAAAGAGGAGACATTTTGTTTGGAACAGCCCAATTGGTTTACAAAGAAGAGTTATATAGAATTCTTCAGAAAAAAAGGATGCAAGTTTGATTTTGTTGGTTGCCTATAGTGATAATTATGAAAACATTGACTTCCTTTATATACTGTAGGTGTGTCTTCTACAAGATCTAGTCAGAAAAAGTGAACAAGGCCTTGGTACTGCAGAAGGACATATCTCCAGTCTCCAGGAAGCCCAAGAAATACTCCAGAAAGAACTAGAGTTAACCAGAGCAAGGCTGAGAGAGACAACGGATTCTTTGTATAATGTTGAGGTAATTGGAGAATTGAAGCATAAAATTATGTAAGCCCCCTTCTCTCTAGGGCTTCTCCACAGTAACACTGCCCTCTCCTCTAGGGCTCACCATACCCGCACTGGGGCTTCTCAAGCACTGCCCCCTTCTCTGGGGCTCTCCACATCTGCACTGGGGCTTCTCATCCACACCTCTCTCTCTGGGGCCTCTCAAATGCCCCCTTTCTGGGGCTGGGGTCAGTGCACCCCAACTGCTGTGCCCTCACTGGCACTGGGGTCCCCACACTGCTGTGGGTCCCGTATGAGGCCTCCTCCAACCCCTAGTAGCCTCACCCAGACCACCAGGGACAAACAGCAACACAAACACAAGCTCCCTTGGCTATAACATAAACTGAAGCCGCCCGTCTATAACCGACGTTACTCAAAACACCCCATGGATGCTCCATCCTTTACCTGGCTCAGGCTGTACCTGCAGTCAGACCTCTCCTCTCAGCTTTGCTCAGGGAGAGCTCTTTCCTCCCTGGCTGCTAGTAGGGAACTGCCAGCTTGGCCTCAGCCCCTAGGGTTTATAAGGGAGCCAGGCCCTGCCCCTTTCAGTGAGCTGACCGCTGGCAGGTGTGGGTCACTTGCTAGCTCGAGTTGCCCTGGCAACCAACAGCTGAGCTCCTTGTTCACTGCTAGGGCTCTTTCCCTAGCAGTTTCCCCTCTTTAGGAGCAGGGCACCTAAGTGCTCTGCGACATTCAGTAAAACATTTAATATGTACATAACTGCTGGCATGTGCTTAGGTGTTTTTCTGAATAAAGAAGGACTGCTGAATCAGTCTGAGTCAAGCTATTGTAATAAAATGAAACCTGGGAAATAAATAGGCACAAATATGCTACAGAAATTCAGTCTTTTATGAAACACAGAGCTCCAATATGAAACTAGAGATAGGCCTGTTTAAAGTCTCTGGGTTAGGGTCAGAGGGGAGAGCAACAAGGGTGGCATCATGATAGGTGTCTACTATAGACCACCATGATGCCACCCTTGTCATGACCAAGAGGATGAGATGGATGCGGCTTTCTTCAAACAGCTAATGGAAGTTTCTCAGTCACAGGACTTGGTTCTCACGGTGGACTTCAGTCACCTTGACACCTACTGCAAGGGCAGTACAGCACTGTACAGGCAATCCAGGAAGTTTTTGGAGGGTGTTCGGGACAGATTGCTGGTGCAAGTGTTGGAGAGGCCAACTAGCAGCTGTGCTCTTCTTGGTCTGCTGTTCACAAACCGGGAAGAACTGGTGGTGATTGGGAGAGGTCCCAGCTGATTGGAAAAGGGCAAATCTAGTGCCCATCTTTAAGAAGGGGAAGAAGGAAGATCCAGGGAACTAGAGATTGGTCAGCCTCACCTCAGTCCCTGGAACAATAATGGATCAGGGCCCGAAGGAATCTATGTCTAAGCACTTGGAGACAAAGCAGGTGATTAGGAACAAGATTCACAAAGGGCAAGTCATGCCTGACCAGCTTGGTTACCTTTTTTTTTTTTTTTTTTCCATAGACATTAGGGCTGGAAGGGACCTCGGAAGATCATCGAGTCCAGCCCCCTGCCCAAAGGGCAGGAAGTCAGCTGGGGTCATAGGATCCCAGCAAGATAAGCATCCAGTTTCATCTTGAAGGTGTTCAATGAAGGCGCTTGAACCACCTCCGGTGGCAGGCTGTTCCAGACCTTGGGGACTCGGACAGTAAAGAAATTTTTCCTTATGTCCAGCCTGAAATGATCTTGAAGTAGTTTGTGACCATTTGACCTCGTCATCCCTTGGGGCGCTCTGGTGAACAAACGTTCCCCCAGATGCTGGTGGTCACCCTTGATAAACTTGTAGGTGGCCATCAGATCACCCCTGAGCCTGCGCTTTTTCAGGCTAAAGAGCCCCAGGGCTCTCAGCCTGTCATCGTAGGGTCTGCTTCCCTGACCTCTGATCATGCGCGTGGCTCTTCTCTGGACTCTCTCAAGCTTCTCCACATCCTTTTTGAATTGTGGAGCCCAAAACTGGAAGCAGTACTCCAGCTGTGGCCTCACTAAGGCCGAGTACAGGGGGAGAATGACGTCCCGGGATTTGCTTGAGAAGCATCTATGGATGAAAGCCAGCGTTTTGGTCGCTTTACTAGCCG